GACAAATCAACATGTTTATTAACCTATATCACTAACAGTAACAAAACATTCCTTGAAGAAAGGAGTGTCTTAGGACACTAATCAATGATGCTGGTCACTACAACTGGATTTGATTTGTTTCACTCCAAAATCACTTAGCTTTTCCCTCAAAAGTCACATGAATGTGCCCTTAAGTTAACTGATTTGTGGAATACAAAATTGTTGTTTGATTTAAGTTATAAATTTATCAATGGGAGCTTCGCTTTTAGCCGTGACTAAATCTATATATTACCATATTTAAAAGAGACGAAAAAACAAACCATTTTGTTTTGAAATCTTTTTCGCGACCAGTCGTACAAGAAAAATATTTTTCTAGACTAATTTTATCACGAGCTACGGAAACAAATTCATTAAAGATGTAAAATTTACCGTTAAGAGCTTTTACGTAAAAATAATACTTTCCTATAATGACATTCAGTGTCAAAAGCTTATGTGACATATTTATTGCTCAATTATATAATGAAGTAGTTTTCCTTCTGCCTGTGTGGCACAATCTATAGACAAAAGTATAAATTTATATGGCCTCGATCGCTTTTCCCTTTAGGGAAGGGAAGCAAAATTGACTGTGCAAAAATTAAGACGAGACAAGAAAGAAAACAAAAACACGAAACGCACGAACAAAAACTCCATGACTTACCTCTGAATTTGAGCGGCGTTGACTGACTGCGCATCGAGCTAATTTGGTTTGTAAAGCACACTACCGGTCCCTAAAATATGGCCGTGAATAATAACATAAAAGTTCTGAGCTAATTTATACGTCCATTAAATGTCCGTAGAGAGGGAAAACAATTGTCTCTGGGCCGCGGTAAAGCGACCCATATATAATTAGCCTTTCTACCTTGAAAAATGCAGTACGCTTTTCTTGCTTGGCGGCTTGTTCAACGGCAGACGTCTCTTGCGTTAACAAGTAGGCCAAATATCTGTCGCTTATTTCTTTTTTTCTTGCTACCAAGATTTGTTTATATTTCTGTTTCACCGAATTTAGTGAGGTGGCTTTCGTACTCCGTTTCAATGTGAGGTTTCGGCCAACATGTTTGCCGCTTTTCTCCAGCCATCGTCCACTTGTCGAGCCTCTGATGCTTTAGAAACCAACAAACTGATCCTGTTTCCTTGAAGATATACGCGTCCCTTTTGATTGCAAACAGCAAGTCATTACTAAACATTAAAAGCAGAAGGCATCCCACGTAATTGTATTTAAAAAGAAGTCCGTACAAAGTTATTTTTAGGTGGAATCCGTGCTAAACACTCTGCAAGTTCACTGGAATTCTTCATTTGCAATTTTTGTTTATCCTCCAACGCCTCGCTTTCATGACTAGGCACCAGTTTTTTCCCGCGCGTCCGCCATTTGTGAATACGGTGTATAGTGAAAGAAAATCATCATTTATCAGGAGCCCCAGGCTATACAACGCTAACAGTCAGAACCCTGGGGGAGTCATGCCAGAACAGTCCGAGGCCTATAACTACGAGTAATGTAATCTGTGACCAGGCGTTGGGAAGAAGGATCGCCTGATTGCAGGTAACGAGTAATAGCAATGCAGATTCCCATTCAAACTTACAGTTCAGTATTTTAAACAGAATTGTTATTCTGGTTGTTGTTCACTGTTTACTTGATTTCAATATTCGTTTAAAATTCGTTATCATACATTACCATACCCAAAAGCTTATAAAGGGAAGTAAAACAACTACTTCAATTCAGTATTCAAGATGGATGATGGTGATCCGTTGTACGAGGACTTCTTTTTCAGTGACTTTGATGGCGATGCTCTAAGTAGCATCTCAATCTCTTCTGCTGATGTAAAAGAAACTCAAGGAACAGTTGAAAGTTGGCAAATCTTGCGGACCGGACATGATATCACTTCGCCTATTGAAGGAGTGTGTAAATTCTATTTCCTCTCCGTTGTGTACCTTGTTCAACAAACAACTTGGTAGTGGTTGCTTCCCAAAATTGTGGAACGTGGCAAACCTGGATCCAGTTTTCAAGTCTGATGATAAAGAAATCGTGGATAATTACAGAGGAATATCCTTATTGAGTGTTGTTTCTAAAGTTTTGCAAAAGTGTATTTTCTCACGTGTTTTCCCTTTTTTTCAAACTAAGCTTTACCATCTACAGGATAGTTGAAAACTATCTACTGAAACCATTTCAGTATCTGTACATGTTATATTTTATTTTGAAGTCTTGCTTGCTTTTATCTTGATCTTTGAAACTGAAAACAGGATCAAGTTGTCCTCTCAGAACACTGGCCAGATAAATCATCCAATCAGCTTCTTGATTAAAAAACCAATCACTAGCTTATTCTGGATGCTATACTACATGAAAGTTTGCGGACTAGCTCTCTTGGTGAACCCTTGTGTAAGAGACAGAAAATGAACCTTATATGGTGTGGTCTTCGGTGACCGCGCACTGAGATATCGCGGGCGCTGTTTCCCTCGAAGCACATGTTTGTTATGGAGTTGTACTGTAATTGTTTCGTTAGGACAAGTTTTCCTTGCCATTAGAAGGCACAATAATTTGTAAGTATGCAGCATTTTCGGTTTATTCGGTAAATATCATCTTTGTAATAGTCGCGTTGTTGTTATTTCAGCGAATCTTTCTCTTTCACTTGCAATTTGTGAATGGAATGAATACAAGTTATGTGCAGATTAGAAGCGAACTAGCAAGTAGACAGCTGATTAAAGTTTACGGTTTCAAGTAGCTATGAGTGGACGCTACACCTTGTTAACAGCTATACCTAAGCAACTGGTGAAGGATCCAATATTTTAGTTGTGAAACTGGTCTTGCAGTCATCGCTAAGCAGAGTGTTATGTTCTTCTTAGAACTTAATTATGACACACTTACAATCTGGTACCAAATAGATCAGTGTCATTTTGCATACACCGCGGAGAGCCCGGTTCCGTACTTAAAATTATGCGGTCTTTTGACTCAAACAAGCATATTCTCCACCAGCTGCATATTGCAGATTAATGGAAGGAAAGCTTTCCACAGGACTTTTAAGTCCTAGTTCGATGTCCTTCAATGACAACTCATCGTAAGAAATTTCTATCCTAAGAAATTTCACTCTTCAGAGCTTTTCAAAGATTTGCTGTTAACTTGAAGGAAATTTCCATATGATCACCTTTGATTATAGAACCACGCTCGACCTGTAGTCAATCATATCATTCTGATTACAGCGTAACTGAGCCAGTAAACTAAACGTTACTGATCATGTTCACTCCTTCTTAGCCGCAAACGTTGATCTAAATCCTGTGAACATAGAATCTGAGGACTCGTAACCTTTATTATAACCCTGATGGGGTGCAGGAAGGCTATCTTTGTCGACAAAAGTACTTTTGATTTTCCTATTTTTCTCCTATTTTTTAATGCAAAGTTTCCTATTTTTCCTATTTTCTCAATCCTGAGTTTCCTATTTTCCTATTTTTTGGAGCAACCATGCCGCTGGACACCCTGACTTCGTCGAACTTGCGATGGATAGTGCCCGAAACGAAAGAAAGAGTGGATAGAGATTTGATAATGCAAATGTTGGATTTCCAACTAAACGGTACAAAGCCCTAAGGTGGTTTTGCCATATGAAAATCCCTCTTTGACGTGGATTTGAATCAGCAAATTAGAGAAAAAATAAGTCCGTTTTTGATCAAGTCACAGTCAACTTTATTTAGGCAGATCGAGTAGCCCTGTCAACCATAGGATCGTATCAAAAGGGGCCCTGCGTAAATTACGACTATACAATCTTTAAAAATTAAAAAGTCCGTTTATATTATGTACAATGATTTTGAAAAAAGGATATCGAGTTCTTTTGGGAATCTGTGCATCCGGACTTTGACATGCAGATCGAAATCTCCTTTTCTCTTTGCATTTTATTGTGCTCCCGTTTTCCATTCGACACTTGGACATCTCCCATAATACTCCTTCTTTGCCCCACCCCCCCCCCCCCCCCCCTAAATTTTGCGTAGCTTTTGTTGTCAACTCTCTTGGGTATTACAGTCGTCCCAAGAAAACTGAAGACACTGCTCATGCAAAATTTTGAGAGGAAAACAAAGTGTATTACGGGAGATGTGCAAGTGGCAAATTATGTTATTTGATTTACCCGAACCGTACTCATGTTGTCTGCTTCAAATCGCTTGCCCCCACTATCTCGGTAACGAGTATATACCAGTTACTTCGGCAGCTGATACGTGAACGAATTTTTATTTTCAGTGTCAAGTTGCCAAGTCCTCAGATGACGTCATCAGTCCCATGGGAGAAGACCGACCACTTGTCACGTCAGGAGTCCCTAAATATGGAGTCACTGATCCTTCCCCACCCCCCAGCGTTGTTACCAAACCACCCTCTAGATTTCAAGTGAACACTCCATCGAAATGTTCAGAGGACAATGCAAGGACAAGTTCTGACGAAGATGCAGACTCCGATGCGCTCAGACGCGAGTCCTTTGCGGTCTTGTCCCTTGATGGAGAAAGTGGTGAAGTTTACATTTAACGTTCGCCATTTTGAAGTTGCGCAGTGTGGTGTCGAACTGTATGAAGGCCCGTTCTGGTCAAAATTGCATGATTAATTTCTCCCTCTTGATGAATTAATTTGATGAGTACCTGCTATTAATATTTTGTCTGTTTGTAATTATTTTATTCCTATGCCTGTAATTATTTTCGTGTTCTTTTTAACTTTTCCATGCGTCACAATTATTTTTTCCTCACCAGGAATTAATTTTTTTATGTGCCGTCTTTATTATTACGCTTCTTTGAAATTATTTTTGTCCATTACACAAATTATGTTACGGTTGCGGATTAGTTTTTGTCTGCCATAATAATTTTTTTTTAATTAATTAATTGATTTTGTCCTACGCAACTCATAATATAATGATAATTTAATTTTTTCCATTCGAGAGTTATTTTTTTCTTAGTCATAATTATTTTTTCGTAGTTTTGGCAAATGTCCGATAAGCCTCTGCGGTAATGCACCTAAAACGAACATGGCGGCTCGTACTCGTCGGTCACGCCCGGTGGTGTTACGAGAGAGAAATGAACGTGGGTTCGCGCTTTTCTTACAGAATCTAAAAAGCGTTCTTAATCTGTTGGCTAGTGCTGATGAGTTAGAGGCAGACGTTCTGATTCAAACGAGGAGTCGATTAGTGGATGCTTCGGGCACGTTGTCATTTCTGCTGAATGACATGTCGAATGGTCTCACAAATGCTACTGGTATTCCGTCAAATGCGATTCAAGTTCCTGTGCAGCACCTGAAGAATTCTTTAACCCACATAACTGATTTGCTTTCAAGTCGGATAGAAGGCCGCAACAATGTAGACTTTTATGACTCACTGGATATATCTTATTCTGCACCGCTGAATCTTTCACAGACAGGACGAGGTCGTAAACGCTATGAAATAACTAAAGACCAACTCGAACACTTACGATCGCTTTATTTTTCTTGGGAAGCAATTGCTCGCATTCTTCAGGTTAGTCTTTCAACCCTTCAGCGGCGACGAAGATAACTCGGTGTGAACACCCCAGCCTATTCAGAAATATCAGATGACGAACTGGATGAAATTTACAGAACCGTAACTGGCAGTTCAAGCACGGGACCCCTTACCCCCAACATTGGTAGGAGACGATTTATAGGAGCCCTGAGGAGTAGAGGCTGGAGCATTCAAAGATGGAGAGTAAGTGATTGTTTAAGACGTATGGATCCTGTTGAACTGCCCTGCGCTGGAGAATGACTATTCACCGTAGAAAATATTATGTACCAACCCCTAACAGCCTATGGCATATAGATTCGGGCCACAAATTAATAAGGTACAAGTTGATAACACACGTCTGTATCGATGGGAAAACAAGGTTAATTTTGTATGCTGCTTGCAGAGACAATAACAAAGCAGAAACAGTCCTTTCTTTGTTTCAAAATGCGGTGCAGAAATGGGGGTTACCCTCACGCGTCCGATGTGACTACGGTATGGAGAATTATCATGTTGGTGCCTACATGATACAGCACCGCGGACCAGCCAGAGGCAGCATCATTACTGGATCATCTGTCCATAACTCTCGAGTTGAGAGAACACATCGTGATGTCTATTCTGGGGTGTTAGCATTCTATTCCCGTGTTTTTCAACAACTGGAAGATGAAGGCAACCTTGATGTCCTAAATGATGTTCATATTTTCAGCTTACATCACATCTACATTCCAAGAATACAGAATTCTCTAGAGGAGCTTGTCAGTCAAATGAATAATCGGCCAGTATCAACTGAACGAAACCATTCACCACTTCAAATGTGGGAGAGGGGTATGTTAGAGAACTTGCACTCTGGACATACTGCACTGAGTGAGACTGAGATTGAACATTTGGGGGTAGATCCAGATGGTGTGCTTTCAGTGGAGGTTGAGGATTATCAGGTAGAGATTGATCCACCATTGGTCAGCCTTTCAGAAGAACAGAAAGGAGAACTTCCAGATCCTCTCACAAATGATGGAAACAGTGGAAAAGATATTTACTTGCAATGCATTGAGGTCGTTAATGGATTTCTTTGCTCTAGTTAAGTATTCTAGGGTGAAGTGAACCAATCACACAAACACTATTGTTGTATTACTATGGGCGATGTAAATCCCAAATGGGTCCATACTTATATACTTCAGCAAGATTGCTATTGACAGTTGTTATTGGTACACTCAAATTGCATTTTTACTGTATTCTAATTATTACAGTACAGTAAAAATCCCATTTCAAAAATTCCAAGATACAAAGTGGCCTGCAAGCCATACTAAGGATGCCATTGCCCCTGTACTTTTTTTTTTTGTGTTTGGTTATTAGGGCCATTGTTGTTGAGAAGTTCCTCAGATTAATGGAATGTCTACCTTTTACCAGTTCTACCAGTGAAAAACAGAAAACTGAAGTTTTGGTAAAATGATGTTGTCTATGAAAAGGCCTCATTTTAGAATATGTTATTAAATACTTTTAATTGTCCAATTATGTCTCACTGTTGTGTCTCATGGGGTGATTACACTGTATCAGGAATCAATCATCAGCGATGCAATTTTATTTATTATGCTTATGCACTTAACCATCTCCTGGGGGAGACCTCAGGCAAGTACAGTGTTGTATGGAGACTTTCAGTCGGATTTGAAGAACAATAATATTATTTTACCCGGAAGGTTGGGGAAATGAAGGAGTTTTGGTATCCAAAAGTCATGCACTGCATGGACTTGTATATGTCTGATTTAGGTAGTGTCATTAGGGCTTATTGTGTTTTAATCTGTTGTGTGCCTGTATAGGCCAGGAGGTACTCCTCGCAATTCTTGGTGGGGATGTGCCACTGGTTCTTGAAACCCTGACCCTATTTCAGACTAAAAATTGCCACTTTTCCACATGCATTTTAAGACCCAAGCTCAGAAGTGAACAAGAATAAGCTGTGAAACTTGAATGATATGTTTTACTCGGTTCTCTGTCTTGTTAATTCAGTTTGGGTTGAAAACGTTTACATTTGTTTGTTTGACTTCCAAACCGGGTATAAACCATACTCGAGTTAAAACCATAATGTGAAATCCTATGCACATTTTAAGACCAAAACGACTTCAAAACCACACCCTTAAGAGCGGCACATACCTATATTGCCTATATAGGAGAGTACCCCTCTCCCCCTCCTTGTATAGTCTTACCACACAGACTGAAATGGTTGCCACTATTGTTATAGACATTCTGTAAGTGCTAATCCAATCCCTAGTGGTACTTCATATTAGAAGCAAGACCACACAGTGACAATCTAGCCATGTGGCAAGTTGAAAAATCAAAATAATATTGTTGAAAAAACGCGTTCCCAATTATCTTTTTGTTATTATATTGTATTGTTCATAACAAATGAGAATAATTTCACAGTTAAAAATGTAATTTACATGATCAAACTTTACTTCTGTTAGTCAAGTCAAGAAAGCTCTATTATGGTACCGTTTTATACTCTGGAGTGTTTTCATGTTGCTCAACATGATCCCCCTCTGGGAGGGGGATTTGATTGCCTGGACAACCCCATAAACAGCATCCTACACTAACTCCGTCCGCTTCCCTGGGTTTCCCTAAGGGATGGGTAGTGATAGTGCAGTACCTTGAACTCAGACTACTGTCAATCCTACATAACATCAGTGAAACCGAAAGGTTATTGTTTTTGGTGGGAGGGTGATTGAGTTCCACATTAAATCACTTAACTATTCAAAAAAGAGGATGAAACAAGTGTCCTTTGCTTGGTACATAATGTAGTGGGAAGGTTTTCCCCCTCAAATGTTCTCAATTGTTACAATGAACATTCTTTTTCATCTCTAGTCCTTGCTTTATGGGTTCAAGGTGACTGTTATGTAGTGTTTATTTAAGGTAAATTATATGACAACACACAGACAAATCAACATGTTTATTAACCTATATCACTAACAGTAACAAAACATTCCTTGAAGAAAGGAGTGTCTTAGGACACTAATCAATGATGCTGGTCACTACAACTGTCATACTTAATATTAAGCAAGCTCCTATGAAAAAGTACTTTCCTTTCAAAATAAGAGGAGTTGCAAAAAGTATGTATCTCCACCCTTGGCAAATATCTGACCCACAAAATAATAACAAAAATGGCATTGTCAGTGAAAAACTTTAAATTCAATTTCTTCAAAAATGTTAAGAATAACATATCTTTACTTGCATTAATGAAGACAACTCAACTTACTAAATTTGGTGACTTTTTGATAACATAAATCAATAAAGCAATCTAGGCTTGTAACTCTAAACCATTTTACTTTTTGCCAAAGTAACACTGCGAGAATGCCAAGTCATACAGGGCAAACAGTCTCTGGGTAGAGGGCAAAGGCAATGCATCAGTCGGTCTTGGAACCTGAAGCAAATTGGTGCAGGTATGGGCTAGAGGCAGGAAGCCACCCTCCACATTTGGGTGTTGCCCTTCACTAAGTCCTTGCTGACTTGTAACTTTCAATTCTGTGGGTAATATGAACTCCAACGACGGAGCAAGCGTAAAACCAAGGACGGGTTCCTCTGGTGAACCAGTGGCAAATTGAAGAATATGACTCAAATTAAGGGTAGTCTTTCCACATACCCTCCTGGAAGCTGCTACTTCACGAACATATCTAACAAAGAGTTGATAAACTTCTTTTTCCTTTTTGAGTGCATTAGACCCCTCCTCTGAAAACTGTGGCTTCAAAATGTGAAGCAGCATTTGCACTCCAAGCTTCTGCTGTCCTTGAGGTCTCAGGAGATGAATCAACATTGGCAGCTCCTGAAGGGCTGATAACATTCCCAGCACTTCGAGACCATGTTGAAGTTTGGCAACACAAGGATCCAAACACACGCCTTCAGAAACAATTTGCAGCAGAATATCCTCCTCTACAAACAAAGGCAGCTGGCCATTTTGAAGCATGGCTATTGCCATCATTATTCCAACATTAAAATAATCTTCTGCCAACAATGGCCTTAAACCATGGTCAAAGTATTTTTTGTTTTATGGCTTGGTTCATTAATCTTATCCATTCTTTTCGTGGCCCACCATAATCTACACATTCCTCTCCCATAAAGTCCACCTGGAATGTCAGTTTGTAGTTGGATATATATTGAAGTTCAGCAAATGTTGTTTCTAGTATATTGTCTCTGTCGACTGTTATGTAATTTGTTTCTCCTTCAATGGTGTCTTCTGAGCTTGTGACTTCTAAGGGTCTTCCCGTTACTATCTCCTTCTGTAGATATTTCAGCACCTCTACGGGGTCACTCAACTGTCCCTCTTTAGCACCCCTGATGATCGAGTTAATGTTCAAAGAACTCGATTGTGACTGACTCTCATTGGCATTGAGTGTTGAACTTTCGTCTGGATTAGAGGATTCAGTGCCATTTGCTGAGTTTTGATGACACAATCGTTCTCCATCTGGAGTATCGGTCAAGTCTATACACAAGCCTGGATCACCCGGATCACCTGTGTCTTCAACAGCAAAAGGAGAAACAAAAAGTTTTTTATCACTAGGATCCATGAAAGAATCTGGTAGCTCCTCTAGCAGTCTAAGATATACCCATCCTGACGGGGCAATTGATTTGAGTAGAAGCTTAGCATCAATGTCTTTTCCTGCATGGAGATTTGGTCTTATCAGGGTGCCGCCACTATTCTTGACGATTTCAAAATACAGTCCCTCCATATAACCTGGTAGTAAACGTGATATTTCGTTGTGAAGTGTTTTGGCATCCCACTTTCTATTGATGTCAAAACCCGAAATGATTCTGCCGGATCTTTCCAATTCAGCTTTCTCGGATTTTGTTGGTATTTTCTCTCTTCCAAAATCCAAGATTACAATATCTTTCGAGACTGTTTCAGACGTCAATGGTCTCGCAACTGTGCGTCTTACGTTAGGACACGGTCGGAAAGTATTGGATCTTTCATACCTTCCTGTTGCAGCATTCCTGCTTGACCTTGCTGAAACTGTTGGGAATCGCCTTCGTAATTCCTCCAAAGCAGTACCAGCTCGTGGAGTCGCTACTTGCAGCTCGTTTGAAGACGTTGATGCCGCTGTTGGCCTTTGTTCCACTAGCGAAACAAGCTGTTGGATGTGGCTGATTGCAGTGCTAGCAATGGACTGAATAGAAGCGGGATCGTTGTTGGAATAGTTTGAAGACGCCATGTTTGTTTCAGAAAGCACATGGCAAGAGCTTCGCCGCAGAGGCTTATGGGACATTTGCCAAAACGACGAAAAAATAATTATGACTAAGAAAAAAATAATTCTCGAATGGAAAAAATTAAATTATTATTATATTATGAGTTGCGTAGGACAAAATCAATTAATTATCCAAAAAAATTATTATAGCAGACAATAAACTAATCCGCAACCGTAACTTAATTTGTGTAATGGACAAAAATAATTTCAAAGAAGCGTAATAATAAAGGCGGCACATAAAAAAATTAATTCCTGGTGAGGAAAAAATAATTGTGACGCATGGAAAAGTTAAAAAGAACACGAAAATAATTACAGGCATAGGAAAAAATAATTACAAACAGACAAAATATTAATAGCAGGTACTCATCAAATTAATTCATCAAGAGGGAAAAATTAATCATGCAATTTTGACCAGAACGGGCCTTCATAGAACTGTATCATGGGGTTGTTGTGGGAGACGAGTTGATCCATTATCCTACGGAACCTCGTTACAGCCAGTAAAAAGAGCGACCATCCCATGGTGCAATTCGACCCATTATCTTGTTCAACTTTAAATAATAAGCTCGTTCGTCTAATTTAAGAGCGCCAGGAAGCGTTCGAACAGGCAAAATTTTTAGCGAGGTTTTAAGGAGCGCTAAGCGTAGCCCGAGAAAACAGCCCACATTTTGCGACGCCACAGGTTTTCCCACAAAATGACGTCTGAGAAACGACAGCAGAAATTCCATCGTGATGTTAGGAATAACTATGAACACTCGTTGACAGTTCTAAATGCTCTCTATTTGACCAATGTAAAGGAATAGTACACATTAAGTTTTCAATTTGAAGTTCGCTGAAAGAGGCTCATTTTAAACTTCGTGCTACTACCGTGACGACCTGAGCTCGGCAATAGAACGACGTTTGAGAGTAATTCGTGTTCCAAACGTGTTCCAAGCTTTGCTGAGCTACTCGTTAGTAGCACGACTTGGTTTCAAATGTCATGTTACTGCCGTGTCCAACTCAATCAATAAATTGCAATTCTTTTACTTTCCTTTTACGAACGCGGGAAATCATGTTTGCATTATCACTTCGTGGTAACATGATAGCCTTCTAAGTAACAATCTTGAAACGTTTGACCGCGTTGGACATTACACTGCTCCTGTGAAAAGCTGGTGTTGTGGACCATCTTTTTTTGACTAAAGGCGCTCTTTACGTGATTAAAATTTGTAGTGATGAGTAAAACTAGAAATAATTTCACTCGCGTTTTGTAAATTTCTGTGGAGTAATTTTATTGGAATTGATTCGCACAGCAGTATAACGGTGGATCACCTATTAATATCCTAGGTGACATTATTACACCCGCAATTGTGAGTTTTTGACTTGCTCATTGCATAGAGAACTCCACGCGCTGAAAAGATTGATGCAAACATTTGAAGTTCAAAGTTTTCTGAGTTTTTGGCTAAAATACTCGTTACAATCATTGTTTCCTCTTTTAAATATTGTGCTCTTTCATGTGTTTTTGTTTTTTTAAGCGCCCTAAAATCTTCATATTTTTGATCAAAAAATCAAGGAGTAATTGTCATCCGTGATATTACATGTAACAGTAAATGATTTTTTGTTCGATTACAAACTTGATTTAACAAAAGTTAATCTAGTAGGTTGTTTTTTGATTCATTAGGGGCAAAAGGAGATTTGTTTCGCTTGGAAATCTTGAAAAACACTTTCCTGAGAATGCGTTTCAATGTTGCTGACATACTTCAACGTTAAAAATGACTGTAAATAATTGAATATTTATTTTTGTAAATCAGGAAGCGGAGATTATTTTTTCAGGATCAAAATCCCTGCAATGTAAATAAAAGTTGTCGTCGTAATGTTGTATGCATGACTTTTCTTTTGATGCCTTTCATGTCATGAGGGTGCGTTTCTCTGGGGTAATCCAAAATTAGATTCTTGATCTCGAATCACCTAGAAAATCTAAAAAAGGATTCTTTTTTTAGCGTGACAATAATATCCATACCCATCCCAACCCCCCCCCCCAAAAAAAAGAGAAATGTGCAAATCATTAAACCCAAAAATTTGGGCGATCTTGCAGCTCTCGGGAGCCTTCACAGGATCGGTTAGGAAAACAATGAACAAAAAAAATTAACAATAGAACATCGCCTGAAAACAACACTACTGAAATATTCCAATTCGATCGAAGTGTAGATTCTTTTTTTTTTTTCAACTCCAGTCGTGACGAGGTTGCCGCCCGAGTATACCTTGTCTGAACCTCCCTACCCAGTAATCTATTGGCACTGTACACTAATTGCCCGTTGATCCTTTGCCTTGTGGGAAATAAAGAGTCCATGCAAGCATGATCAGTTTAAGCCAGTGCTTTACACATGCGCCCAGCCATATCACCCAGTAAGTAATTTCGCCCTAATTTGGGCGATATGGCTGTGAACAGGCGAAAGGCACTGGACAGCTCGTAACTAAGGTGTCCCGGTGTGTCACGTGCTTTAAGTGTTTCGTTTATATAAGCATTGCTAAGGTTACCACCATGTCCACTCTCATTACTGTTGGACTTAGAAGCTTTCAGAGGTCGTTACCTTGTGGGGGAAGCCGGGGGATAAGGGGGAGAGGGTTTGCTATTTTTGTGAGTAAAAAATTAAAACTCTTAACGTTTCACAAAGAAATCTTAATAATGCCAGCAATTTAAAACCAGTTTAATGGCACAAATTTTGATTACAGCAACAACAACATATTTATTCAGTATTACCATTTCGGCCATACATGGTGTTACCGATAGGAATACAATAATAAACAAAGAAAGTTAAGTAAATACCAATATAATTGAATGATATATAATTAATAATCATTTTTCTTTCACTTTCAAATGCTTGAAAAACAAAAGTAGCAGCTAGCCTGCTAATATACGAATCAGTATTGTTGAAATGAAATCAGAGTTTATCATGGTTATCGTAATTTTTAAAGCCACTTTCAATTACTTATGACATACTATTTGAATTCCTTAATTCCCACCTATACTGTCTATGTGCGTTAGCTGGTGATAGCTAGCTAGTTTAACACCCTATGAATAACTTATGAAAACGCAAAACTGCGGATAGCAAAAAATAAGGACAACTATTTCTGAGCGGTTGTTCATTTTTGGGTTTCTGAAAAAACAAAACGTTTCATATTTTCTTTTCTTTTTCAATTTTTATTTGGCTTTTAGAACTAACAGTAATCGTATCTAATAATAATAATGATAATAATGACTTTATTTAAGTGCCAATGTATCTAGCTTATCAGTTAGCTAAGGCCCCAAGTCAACTGAAAAAAAATGGCCTTCACGGCTAACCGAAGACGAAAAGGCCAGATTTCTGACTAAAAATGAAAGGAAGAAACGCAATGATATGCAAAAAAAAGATCCTCGATGGATTCCATCGACTTTTTAAGGGATATTTCTGTCAGAAATTAAGACACAAGTTATTTTATAACAGCAATTATTGAACACGTTTTCCATGTTTGCAAAGCCTGACATAGACGTTTCCAGGTTTGTGCAACTGTCTCGAATTCTCCCAAGCCTTTCTCGTGATTATATCAGGCTATGCAAACATGGGAAATGTTTTCTATTGCTTCATTGTAGAACTGTTTCTATAAAACTGGAGCTCGATACCACTCCAAACTGGGTCTCGTGCAAGGACATTCTCTCTTGGCTGTGTGACGTGCCAGGCCGACCCAATGCTAGGCGATTCTGTTGCTGTTTGCACCCTCGCAGACG